CTTTCCCTGCCACCTCACGGGCCTACAGTCGGGCTCTACAGCGTGTTCTCACTGCTTCGCCCCAAGTCCATCCCCAATTCCGCTCTAGAAATCTGAGCAACCCCACCCCCACCCCCCGAAGATCTCCCAGGCTAGGCTCTCCTTGCACCAGGGAGCCAGAGAGACACGAGGGCGCTGGGGGGAAATCCAACCCAGAGCTCCCCGAAGGAAGACCTCCGTCCCCAATCTCAGCCCGCTCACAGAGGGAGCAGCCGACAGGTCCAGATGAATCCCACCGGGCATGCTGGAAACCGACAGAAGGGCATGTTGCCATCGCCTCTGAACCGAGAGAAGGAACCACTTACGCAAGCGATTTTGAGCAAATGCCAGATCTCCCTCTGCCTCTTCCCTTGCATCTGCATCACGGAATTGTCGGCCTCCTTGATATTACTCAGAGCCACTTCGATCCTCGGCAGCAGGTCAATAATCTTCTGCTTACAGCCTAACAGTTTGCTGGGAGACAGAAAGAAAATTAAGCCACCCGGCCAGGCGCCCCCTTGCTCCCGTCGGGAAAGCGGAACCGAAACATGGGAGATTTCTGGAAGAGAGCGGCCAAGAGAGCGCTAGGCAGAGTGAGACAGTATGCGTTTTGGGAGCGCGAGGGTCCTGGTTCGGAGCGTTGGATGCAGAGTGTCGTGTCTGGGCCCAGAGCACCCAGAAGCCTGACAGGTGGTTAGGAAGTGCTTGTGCAGCAAATTGTTCTCTGGTGAGGCTGCAGTTCTCAGTGCAGAAAGAAAAGCCTTGTAGTCAATAGAAAGCTGATACCGGGATGGATTTCTAAATTGCAGGCTGTTAGTCACTTTAGATGACCGTTCTCAGCTGCTGCAAGTGAATCACGCCTGCCAGCCCTAAGCAACAGTTCTGATGACAAGCTGGCAGGTGGGGGTGATGACTTCTGTAGTCAAGAAAGCGAACGCTTAGGCAGAAAAACTCTCTTAAAGGAGACCAGTTTCTTGACACAGAGTTAGAAGGGATCCTAGAGGTCACCTACTCCAACCCCCTTGCTCAGTGCAGGATTTAGTCAACTACAGCACCCCACTCTGCTTAAAGGAGCACACGACTTTAAAAAAATGTTTTAAAAGGATTGAAACAAGCATTTACGGGATAAATTCTTGTGGGGCTGTGCCTTTAGGAAAGAAGGCAGAGACCCCAAAAGACCCACTGTAGCTACGGGCCTGGCCTTCACCCACCACAGCAAGGATGTGCTGCTGCACCTCTTATTTTGAACAGCACACACCAGGCCTTTCGTGAGATCTTTTCGCCACCCAAACCAGATCTCTCCTTTCCATCAGAGGAGGACAGGCGATCACAACCCCCCCCCCACACACACACACAGAGAGGGCCTTGAGAGTTTCAAAGTAGATTTACTACTTTTCAATGCTGCAGCCACCGGGTGACACCTAGGATTAATACAGTGGCGCATTTTACTAATCCAACGAGGCCTTCCCATGCACCAGAACCCCGGGGTTTTACAACCTCTTCAGCATCATTTAAGTTTGAATGTACAAGGCCCCTCACCCCACTTTAAAGACTGCCCGTGCTCCGCTGCTGGAGTATGCAGAATGATACAGACAGACAGCAGGAGTCATAAGAACATAAGAGATGCCAATGTTGGATCAGGCCAAAGGCCCATCCAGTCCAACACTCTGTCTCACACAGTGGCCAGAAATACCAGATGCCATCAGGAGGTCCACCCGTGGGGCCAGGACACTAGAAGCCCTCCCACTGTTGACCCCCCCCCAAGCACCAAGAAGACAGAGCATCCCTTGCCCCAGAGCCCCTATCTACACCTCATGGCTAATAGCCACTGATGGACCTCTGCTCCATATGCTTATCTAATTCCCTTTTGAAGCCGTCCATGCTTGTAGCCGCCACCACCTCCTGTGGCAGTGAGTTCCAAGTGTTAATCACTCTTTGGGTGAAGAAGTACTTCCTTTTATCCGTTCTAACCCGACCGCTCAGCAATTTCATGGAGTGCCCACGAGTTCTTGTATTGTGAGAAAGGGAGAAAAGTACCTCTTTCTCTACCTGCTCTTTCCCATGCATCATCTTATAAACCTCAATCACGTCGGGAGGTGGAACCGGAATTCGGATGGGCAGAAAGAAGACCGGGAGCTGTACCTGAGGTGTCTGTAGAGTTCCTTGAGCACCCAGTCCTGGCTCTGAACCGTATGCACGATGATCTTCACCATCTCCGTGCTGTCGCTGTAGGAGTGATCTGAAAGGAACACCCACCATGGGATCAGGACGGCGCTCCCCTTAAAAGACACTGGCAGTCCAAAGTGTCTTCGGGAAAAGAAACCAAACTGGCAGAAACTAAACGCTCCTTTGAAACGTTTTAACTCGACGACTAATAACGTTTGCTCTTTTCCCAGTCTCGTGAGGTGTCAAACCAGGGCTTTTTTTGTAGAAAAAAGCCCAGCAGGAACTCATTAGCATAATAGGCCACACCCAACAGCAGAAACTCATTAGCGTATTAGGCCACACCCCTGACAACACAGCTCATTAGCACATTAGGCCATACCCCCATGTTACCATAAGTTTGTTCTTCCAGCCACACCCACCTTTTGCTTCTTATTCTGTTTACCTTGTTTGTTGTCAAAACCCAGGGCCTTTTTTTGTAGCAGGAACTCCTTTGCATGTTAGGCCACACACCCCTAATGTAGCCAATCCTAATGAGTTCCTGCTGTTGGGTGTGGCCTATTATGCTATTGAGTTCCTGCTGGGCGTGGCCAACTCGGGAGCCAGCCGGAACTCCGTTCCTGTGCGTTCCTGCCCAAAAATAGCCCTGTGTCAAACCATGCTTCGCTTTGCTGCACATAGTTTGCCAGAGACGCTGGGGGGAGGGGAGTCCCTCAGGTGGGAGGAGTGAGTGCGGGGCTGGGGGGCTTGAGTGCTCTCTCTTAGACCTTTTCCTCAAAATGCGCCTCTCCCCGGTTCACAGGCAGACGTCCTTGAAGCTCTCAATGCCAGCTTATGTAGGAGATAATGGGACTGTATAGAGGCGAGGGAGCCTGGCTGCACGATGTGACGTGTGTGTGGGCCTTTGGAGCGGTCACAGTTTGAACTTTCTATATCTATGCCTGTGCCCGCCAAAATGCTTTAGAACTGACACAGCACTGTCCGTGCCTGGAACTTGTTCAACTCAATAAAGCTTTTCACTGCCAAAGACAGTGTGCTTGACCAGGGAGTCTGACATCGGGGCCTCGAGCCCGCCCTTCACAGCAGGGTGTTTTATGGACCATTCAAAATGCTCTCATGAAGGAATATAACAATGAAAGATTGAACTGGACTCCGGGTTGGGGGGGGGAATTCGAGATTAAAAAGCAGCACCGCAGCAGCCGTAAGGGTCCAAGAGGACGCAGACACAACACAGTTTTTTCCCACTAGGAAGGCCATTTCACTTAGGAGCCTCATGGCGAAATACGCAAGACCACCGGACCCTGGCTCAGTAGCAGAGTCCTGCTATTTCTACCTGCCTGCTAGAGCTAAGCCTTGCCAGTGATGCCGCTCACGAGGGCCACGGTCCACGTCCGCACTTGCCTGGCCAATTCTGTCCTTTGGAAACCTTCCCCTACAAACACCAACCACTTGCCTGGCCAATTCTGTCCTTTGGAAACCTTCCCCTACAAACACCAACTACGTCCCAGATCCCAAGAGAGTTCAGAGAGGAAGGTTGTCCCGTACCTGGGGCCCTGGGCTTTAATTGCTTGTAGAGTTCGATAGCTCTTTGTTCACTGGAAAGAGAGAAGATAATAAATGCAATCAGACTTTTTCTGCCAATTAACTTTGTTACAGGAGACAGAGCCAGTTTGGTGCAGTGGTTAAGTGCGCGGACTCTATTCTGGGAGAACCGGGTTTGATTTCCCCACTCCTCCACTTGCAGCTGCTGGATGACCTTGGGCAAGCCACAGTTCTGTCAGAGCTGTTCTCTCAAGGGCAGTCCTCTCAGAGGTCTCTCAGCCCCACCTGCCTCACAGGGTGTCTGTTGTGGGGAGGAGAAGGGAAAGGAATTTGTAAGCCGCTCTGATACTCCTTCAGGTAGTGAAGGGCAGGGTATAAATCCAATCTCTTCTTCTTCTCTTCATCCAGCACATCTAAATTGGATTTGGACGGGGGTGGGAACGGCAGATGTAGGCTGCCAGTTTGGCGTAGTTTTTAAGTGTGCGGACTCTAATCTGGGAGAACCGGGTTTGATTCCCCACTCCTCCACTTGCACCTGGCTGGATGACCTTGGGCAAGCCATAGTTCTGACAAGAGGTGTCCTTGAAAAAGAGCAGTTTCTGTCAGAGCTCTCTCAGCCCCACCCACCTTACAGGATGTCTGTTGTGGGGAGGGGAAGGGAAAGGAGTTTGTAAGCCGCTCTGAGACTCCCTTAAATAGTGAAGGGCGGGGTGTAAATCCAATCTCTTCTTCTTCTTCCATCTGCTATTTTCCCAGTAAGGACTGTAGGCGGCACGCTAGTTCCAAAACATATGGTTTGTTTCCCCCTTTGGGCCAAACTGATAGAGCAGGAGCGTTTAGCTATAAAAATATACCTCTTTTTGTTTTGCTGCTGGATTTTGTATTTGTTGTTTGCTGCCCCAGGAACCTAACAGGTATGGGATGACACGTTCAGTAAATGATCCTGCTTTCTCAGTGACGTTCAATGTCCCAGTTGCATATTTAGCATACTGGAAATGACGGCTTAGTGATTCCGAAGTCAGGATTCCAGATCCACATCCTTAAATTCTCAAACGATTGCCTAAGATCCCTAACGCGTCTGGCTTTTGAAAAATATCTTTCCTCTGAAGGGTCTGAGCCTTTCATGCAGGACTGTACAGCTTGCAGCAGACCAGGAAAAACACAGGAGCCTGCCTGATGCATGGCTCCATTTGCGAAATATGCAGCTGCGTGCAAGTTCTGCCACAGAGACCGCAGCAGCTGCAACAGTAATTTATGGAGGAGAATAACAGTGTGGAATGGAGGGCGGTTGCCCTTTCGACCCACGTGAGGAGACAGAGCGAAAGTGAGCGTGGAGGGCAGGGCACAGAATTCCCACTGAACATTCGCTTCAAAGTCCTGGTTTCAGCACTCAACAGACATGGAGACTTTGCTACTAAGAAGCAGCAACCCTGCATATCGATAAAAGGAAACCACTGATATATTAAATCTGTGACGCAGAAAAAAACGTGTCAGGTGCTTACAGATTCTCCATGATATCGCCCTGGCGTCGTGCATGGGGGCTCCGCTGCAATTCCACAATCTCCGTGTGCAGGGCCATGATCTGGTCGTCCAGGTAGCCGATATCTCCGGCCTGGAAAGGAGAGGGGAGGGAACTCTATGCATGCCAGACTACAGACAGAGGAAGAGTTCATCATCTCTGCACAATTATACCGATCAGATCAGCATTATTATTACTGTTCCTTTAAATACGCCTTATGAACTCAAAACACAACAATTCCACACAGATTTTTTTTTTAAAAAAACAGCATTAAATCTAACATAAGGTAGTGGAAAGTGTAGTGGTTAAGAGCCAGTATGGTGTAGCGCAGACTCTAATCTGGGAGAACCGGGTTTGATTCCCCACGCATCCACTTGCAGCTGCTGGATGACCTTAGGCAAGCCGTAGTTCTGTCAGGGCTGTTATCTCAAGGACAGTTCTGGAAAGAGCTCTCTCAGCCCCACCTACCTCCCAGGGTGTCTGTTGTGGGGAGGGGAAGGAAAAGGAGATTGTCAGCCGCTCTGAGACACCTCTGGGTAGTGAAGGGCGGGGGATAAATCTTCTCTTCTTCTTATGGCAAGACGCATTCAGAGGGTTTGCCACTGCTTTCCTCTGCACAGGGACCCTGGACTCCCTTGTCGGCCCCCCATCCCAGTTCTGACCCTGCCTATCTCCTGAGATCTGATAAGGTTGGCCTAGCCTGGGCCATCCACGTCAGGGCAAAATGGAACACACAGCTAATTCTAAAAGAGCCGAAAGACACACATTTAATGCTTTTTGTAAGTATGAAGGTTATGGCCAATGTTCCCTCTAAGCTATGGAGTCTTGTGAGCAAAAATTCTACTTGGTGAGCTACTGGCATTAAAGTTGTGAGCAGGTAATTTGGCTCCTGCATAAGTTAGTTTGCTCTGGAGCCAGCCTTCCTGAGCTAAGACACATATGTGTGAGCCGGAGGCTTAAAAACTGTGAGCTAGCTCACACTACCTCAGCTTAGAGGGAACGCTGGTTACGGCCGGTGTCAGCAACATCAGACACTTTCAGGCTTCACTTCTGGAGCGCCACAAAACTGGAGCTCCAGAAGAAAAGGTGCCTGTTCCTAAGCCCTGGTGATGGTTTCTGCGCCTGATACGGAAAGCGGAATACGGCACTGCAGAGAGGAAGCACGAGACGGGCAGGCCCCTGACCGCCACTCCTGTCTAGGTGTTCCAGCCGGAAACCGTTTTGTGTATTTGGTCGTCGTCTTGCATTTACGTGCCAGAGAAGGTCAAGGCTAGGACCACTAGGAAGGTCGATGGAAAGAACTGGAAGGAATCCCCACCGCCGCCGCCGCCCAGTGGCCTGTCACTCGTCCCGAGACCCCCTCTCTGAGGACCAGGCCAGGCGAGCCAGCAGGGCAGGGGGCAGCGAGTCAGACGGCCCCCTTCTCCCTCCTCTGCTCGTGGCTGGCACCTGCGGGAGAGAGAAGAGGGGACGAGTTTGGTGTAGTGGTTAAGTGTGCGGACTCTAATCTGGGAGAACTGGGTCTGATTCCCCACTCCTCCACTTGCACCTGCTGATGTGACCTTGGGTCAGTCACAAGCTCTGGCACAGCTGTCCTTGAAAAAGAGCAGTTTGTGTCAGAGTTCTCTCAGCCCCACCCACCTCACAGGGTGTCTGTTGTGGGGAGGGGAAGGGAAAGGAGTTTGTAAGCCGCTCTGAGACCAGCCCCGCAGCCTCCTGCTCCACGGTGCTGCTCGGTCAGCTTCTGCTAAAAACTCTGCCAGGGCAGTTCCCACCCACCCACGGGGTCTACAGGCTGGCTGGAGTCAAAGGGCCTTCCGGACATTCGGTCCTTCCGATGGTGGGAGAGCCTCGCACGGGGGGAGCCGGTTTCCCTCCCTGAGAACCGAGGCACGAGGGTGGGGTAGAGGGAGGGAGGGAGGGGCAGCACGCGGGAGGGGCTTCCCCAGAAGAAACGGGACACTTTTTTTGTGTGGTTAAAAAGGCCTGAAAGGGCTAGACTGATGAGAGCGGAAAGGCCCCCCTTCCTTGTGCTCTCGTCGGCACGACACGGGGCAGAACGGGGCAACTTCCTGGGCTCCTCAAGTGCCGTGCTCCTCAAGTGCCTGGGCTCCAGCCAACGCAACCCGCCTCTCCCCGTACAGCCGTTCTTCCCCTTGGCGCCTGGGCAATGCGGGCACGGGGAGCAGCGGCAGCCGCCCTGGCCTCTGCCGCGGGATTAGGACCGGACTGAGCCTCAGTCCTCTGCTAAAGTTCTGATCCTTGAATTTCCATAGCTTCCACGGCTGAATCCGTGGTTCTGTTTCCCAAGAGGCTTCGGGACACTGCCAAGGGCTGCGGCCTTCGGGTACGGACAACCCTTTAGGTGACTTCTGCCTCACGTGACCCTTGCCTTTTGGAATGTTGTTGTTGTTCAGTCGCACAGTCGAGTCCGACTCTCCGCGACCCCATGGACCAGATCCCGCCAGGCCCTCCTGTCTTCCGCCGTCCTCTGAAGTTGGCTCAATTTCATGTTCGTTGCATCTATGACACTGTCTAACCCTCTCATCCTTTGCCGTCCCAGTCTTCTTCTACCTCCAGTCTTTCCCAGCATCAGGGTCTTCTCCAGTGAGTGCTCCCTTCTCATTGGGTGGCCAAAGTATTTGAGCTTCAGTTTCATTATCTGGAATGTTTACACGCTATCAAATCCTAAACAGACAAAGAATCTGAACCCGGCTCCCTGGGACTCTGTGGAGTCCGCCTTCACTCTCTGAGTCAACCTAACTTAACTCTGACTTTCCTGACCCCGGAGACAGAAAGAAAGGGGCTGAGTTTTGTTGTACACATCAGAGGTACGTCAAATTATCACAGACTTGACTGACAGTCACGTTAGCTCCTCTGGTTGGAAAAGGGTCCTTCATGTCTGAATTTAGTTTTGTTCCTTATTGTTCTGGCCAGCCACCCTTCCGTTAGGGGTCTTGACAGAGCAACCAAGGATAGCCTTTATAGAACTTCAAGTGCACTCTTTATGAATTTGGATTGTGTTGAAATATTCTTTGTTGTATATAGAAATGCTACAAAAGTGTTCTCTGACTGAAGAGCGTGTGACGGAATAAACTGAGTCTCGGCTCAGAACAACTGTCTCTCTCCCTCTCTCGCGATGCGACTGGGAAGCCAGCTTCCCAGGGGAGGGCATGAAAAGGCCCCTGCAGGCCTCATTCCCCCCCAACAGCCTTCTCACCCTGCCTGTGTAAAAGTTCAGAAATATTGGAAACTTATACAGAGAATAATAGATGAAGTGGTAAAAGTAAAGCTTGAGTTGATGCCTGAGATATATTTATTAAATACAATGCCGGAAGCGCTTACCTTTAATGAAAAATATGTAATTTCATATATTATTACAGCTGCGAGAATATTATGGGCCAAATATTGGAAAGTAGGAAATACACCCAGAGTAGAAGAAATAAGATATAAACTGATGGGAGTAGCGGAAATGGAAAAGTTAAACTTGATATTACAGGTGGAAAATGAAGAGATATTTGTTGAAAGATGGATAGGGTTATATAAACGGTTAGAATGTGAAAGATGACTCAAAAAATATATGTACCTATATGAAATTGTACTAAAAATGTTTTTTAGAAAACTAATAAAAATAAATATTAAAAAAAAGGAAAAGAGTTCCCTACATCTTTCTCAGGCCCCATAAGAAGCAGGAAGACAGCCAGGCACACAAACGGGAGGTGGGAGCAAGTTCAGAGGCATTTCCTGTCCTTTCTTTATCAGTGTGAGAAGCTGCCTCATTTAAAAAAAAAAGAAAAAGAAAATCAATCTTCGGCTGTAACAAGTGCCCAGGGGGCAACAGGCCGGTGTTTGCATCAATATGCGTTTATTTCATTTGCTAAAACACTCCTTTCCCCCCACCCCACTCTTCTGTTTTACCCAAGATATCACCACCACCACCACCTTCACCTCCTCCTCCTCCTACACACCTGTTCACACTGCAAGGCCTTCTCCTCCATTTCTTTCCAGGCTTTCAGCATTTTTTCGGAGGCTTAAAGGAAGACATTTGGATTAACATAAGAGAAGATACTTGCGATGTGAGAGAAGGCGCCTATTTTAAAACCCTCGGAACGTGCAGTAGGGATGCCAGTGGACTTTGGAATCAGAGGTGCTCAGGAAACTGGGTCCCATCCAATGTTCCCTCTAAGCTGTGGAGTCTCGTGAGCAAACATTCTACGTTGTGGGCTACTGGCATTAAAGTGGTGAGCGAGCAATTTGGCTACTGCATAAATCAGTTTGCTCTGGAGCCCCATCCTTCCTGAGCTGAGACAAAAATGTGTGAGCTGGAGGCTAAAAAACTGTGAGCTAGCTCACACTAACTCAGCTTAGAGGGAACACTGGTCCCATCCCATTCCAAGCTAAGTTGAAACCATGCATTTTCTGGTGAAATGTAGATGAGAAGTCCTTTGACTGACATTTGGCCTTCTCCAAATTGTAAAACAATAATGTCGGGATTGAAAACCCAACACAGTTAATTTTAACGGTATTCATAAGAACATAAAAACATAAGAGAAGCCAATGCTGGATCAGGCCAATGGCCCATCCAGTTCAACACTCTGTATCACACAGTGGTCAAAAAGACCAGGTTGCCCTCAGGAGGTCCAGCAGTGGGGCCAGGACATTAGAAGCCCTCCCACTGTTGCCCCCCTCCAAGCACCAAGAATACAGAGCATCACTTGCCCTAGCCTGAGAGTTTCTGCTCATACCTTGTGGCTAAATAGCCACTGATGGACCTCTGCTCCATATGCTTATCTATTCCATTGGCTCAGATATGCAGCCTTCACATAATGGAGAAGGGTAGCTCAAGGAAACAGCCCAACAGCCAAATCAACTCAAGGAAACAGCAAACAGCCAAAAATCGATCGCTGCAATCCTTGCAATGGCTGTTAATGAACAAGCCCCGCCACAAGACTCCATAACTCAGCCACCATTGTTACAGTCCTAGAACAGCTCTGCAAGACTGTTTTTACTGTATTGTTTACATCATCTTCATCAATTCTGAATCGCCCCATCCCTGAGTACACAAAGCTCTGGGTGATTTACAGTAAATCAGCATACAAAAATACAGTTTAAAATCAGTGATCAATTAATCCCGAAGTTTCACAGTCTTCAGATGGCATCTATAATTTAATCTAAAACCTGCTCTGGGCAGCCATCAAGCAAAGCAGGTACCCCATAAAGGGCCTGGGGCATGACTTTGGCCCTGTAAACATGAAATGAATGCATTGTCTACCTTTGACATAACAGAATCAAGGTGACTGTCTGAGTTGACTCGGTTGTGGTACTATCAAGCGGACTGCCCCCCTCAAACTCTCTCTTCTTCTCCACGAACTCCATGCCAGAAGGGAATGCAGGCCAGATATGGGCCACATGTAATTTTTCCCACTCTTTAGGTGCACAAACAGAATCCCACACTTCCTTGGCGCTACACAATGTTCCCTCTGTGAAGTCCTGTGAGCAAAAATTCTACTTTGTGAGCTCCTGGCATTAAAGTTGTGAGCGAGCGATTTGGCTACCGCATAAATTAGTTTGCTCTGGAGCTATCCCTTCCTGAGCTAAGACAAAAATGGGTGAGCTGGAGGCTAAAAAACGGTGAGCTAGCTCACACCGACTCAGCTTAGAGGGAACACTGGTAGGGAGATACTTTGCAGGACTCTCACCTCCTAGTCACGGGTGGAAGGAATCCCCCGCGGTCACACGAAGGGAAGCAGCCACCGCAGCCACGCGGGAGACGAGGTGTTGGCGGCAGCCTCCCCTAAGAAGGTCCCAAAAGGTGACCCCAGATTTCAGGACACAAATCCCCCCCAAAAAACACTTACATATCCCGTAGGTCATCTGATCGCTGTATCTTTCCAAGTCAAGGTGGATGCTCTGCTGGAAGAACTTCAGCTTTGCCTTCAGTTGCTGGGATGCCGACACCATGTTGTTCTTCATTTTGGTCAAGTTGGCGTTGTACCTCAGGAGACTCAGCCTGAGCAAAGGAGACAAGCCCATGGGTGCGTGCCTGCAGGGTTTATTTCCAGCGTGCTTGCATGGGCCCTAAGAGATACGGGCAGAAATTTACGAATAGCTCCACCGCTTTTCTTTGCATTAGCTGACAGGTAATCAACATGGCCTTTCATATGACCGGACGGCTGAAATACAACTCCAAGGTATCTAC